ATACTAGAGTACCCTATATCTAGTAATCTCCCGACAATTCCCGAAGGTTCGGGAGAACGAGTCACGTGACCTCGCTGACGCAACAATATAAAAATTAACAGGAAATATTTTTTTTTACATATGTTAAAGGTAAGCATAATGTTAGAATGGTGATTGGGGCCTTAAAGGATGCTAATGATATTACCAATACACCTGACCCTCAATATTCTATGGAGAATATCAGAATTCACTTGAGTCATATTTTATTAATCTATGGTTGAGAGATCAGAAGTAGATAAAGCACCAGGATCAGACAGGTTTTTTTTCCAAGGGTTTCAATGGAGCTGATCAGACATACAAGCCTGTTTCATTTTTGGTAGGTCACAGGGAGTGGGCAAGTATCTCAAGATTATAGTGTTGATTATGCTACTCTGATATTTCAAGTGGGGTGATAAGAGTTGCTTTAAATTTATATATCAATATAATTGTTATATTATGTTATAACTTATAATTTTTATCAAGGTATTAATGATATTCCACATTTATGTGTGAGTTATTGTGGTTTATAGTTAAATGAAAAATTTACATACCAGTAATGAAGCATTTTCTCTCCTGTAGCATTTAAATATCCTGAATACTGCTTGAAGTTTGGTGGTTTGATGAGCCCTGGCAGTCGGTGAATCTCGTCGGGATTAGAATTATACACATTTTGAATCAAACTCAATCCAAGGACTAATAAAACAAGGTGTTCCTTCATTTTTATTCAAATAGCTAGGTTTTGTTTTTCTGAAATGAAAACACCAAATGTATCATGAACACTAAAATATGTTTCAATATAACTTTGCTTGTACTACTGTACGTATATTAATATTCCAGTATAAGAAAATTAATAACTTGATTAAAAAAGAAGTATATAAATTAATATGTTGAACATTATACATGTATTCAAGTCAATTATGTTGTAAATTGGCCTACTTCATTATGAAAATTACAAACACAAGCTAAAATTTAGTCATGACCATACAATGGTCATCTTAATCAATATACTTACTCAACAAATGCCATGCGTGCCAAATTTGAAGCCTACATAATTTGGAATTATGAAGATAACTTATGAAAGTACAAATTTGAAGTCTACACAATTTGGAATTATGAAGTAACTTATGAAAGTACAAATTTGAAGTCTACACAATTTGGAATTATGAAGTAACTTATGAAAGTAAAAATTTGAAGTCTACACAATTTGGAATTATAAAGTAACTTATGAAAGTACAAATTTGTTATCCACAGTGCAGTTGTCATGTGTGCACGGCACTTAAGTTTTATAGATGTTCCGATTCATGGAAAACTTTTCAGCATCCATGACACAACTGTTTAAAAGTGGAACTTCTAAAACCTCATGTAGCCTGAATACACAAATTCCTTTCACAATGGAGAAAAGCATTTCTGATTATTGTGTATTTAAGTATATCTACTGTTAATGTTCATGTTCAATCACATTATAAGCACAGACAGATCTACCTTTATTTAAAAAAAAAGTCTTAACTTCAAGAAATGGCATTCTTTTAAAGCATGCTACTTATAATTTTTAGTTATTTAGAAAATTAATTTCAAAGATAGAATTATTTAATATTTTATTTATTTTAGTTTTACTTATAATATTTTGCTTAGCCCTATTCAGAAGCTATTCATAACAGTAAAATACAAATCCTTAAGTTAAACAGAGAATCAAAATAAACTTGAGAAACGTTTTTTTATGGTACATCACACCATGCCATATGAACAACTAGGGGCCGCTTGGTTCCTCAAGGTTGTGCTTGCACACCTACATTTGAGAAAAAATCAAAATGTAAATTCACCCTATAATTTTTAGGAAACCATCAAATCCCATATTAAAATATTGTACGGTACTAGCTTCTACAACTGCTAAGAGCAACTCATTCCGCAGTATACTCAGCCTCTCATAAAACTAAAACTTAACTGGAATCTGTCCAGTCTTCCCAAATCTTGTGTTCTCTCAATTTATGGCATTCAGAAGACATCATGCAGAAAAAAGCACTTAATATTCTTAAGATAATACATGTTATGAGATTTTAACCTAACTCTTCCATCTCCTGAATTATCCAAGTAACACTTCTCTGAAACCTTTCTGACAAGTCAATATCATTTCGTAGATAAGGAGACCAAAACTTTACATAACATTTTCAGTGAGGCCTAACAAGTAACTTGTATAGAAAAAATTACCTCTTTTGATTGTAATCAGTATGCTTATAAAAATATTCTAAAATTCAATTAGCTTTGGTACTTGCAAAGTGCATTGCTTCGTTAGCATGAGTGACTTATTCACTACTACGCCAAGTAGTCTTGTGATTCAGTGGGTTTCAACATCCTCTGTACAGCTAGAAATACCTTCATTAACAGTTATCAGCAAATTTTACTGTCAATGTAAGTAAGAAAAAGTAATTAAACAAATATTTTCCCAATATTTTCCTCTACTAATAACAATCAACACCCTGGACCCAATCCCACTTTTAAAATTTTGCTTATTCTAACATATTTAAAAAAATCCTGGTTGTTAGTTTTAACAGTATTGGCCAACTGTTTCTCATACCCTCTTTCTGTTCTACTAATATTTTTATAAACAAAATCCTCTCCTTATCTGAGAAAGAATACTGACTTACTGGAGATGGATCAGAGAAGAACCACCCTACTAGGATGATTACAGGAATGGATGGATTCTCTTATAGGTATAGGTTAAAGTCATAGGTACAAGGCTGAGAAGGGTATTGTTAATTTCAGGCATTATGGGATTTGTTTTGAAATGATCCTTTGCAGTTTCAAGCATTTAAGAGAGTTTGTGTCCATAACACTAACAGATTAATTACTAGGTAATGATGGTCGTTGAAGAAGTTCTTAACTATTTAATCAGTTCAGTCGGCTTGCACCTGTGGTTTTAAGACATCTTACTTCTTCTTGAGAAAAGAAGAGTAAGAACATCAGAGGTAATCTTAATGTAGTTTATAAGATAATTCAAGGGATCAATGGAATAGATGAGAAGGAAGGCAGCTAGTCAACATCACCCATCACTATCTCTTGGGTTACTCTTTACGAATGGTGGGATTGACCATAAAAATTATAACACCCCCATGTTTGGTGATGGGTTTGTTTTTTGTCTGTTTTGAATTTTGCACAAAGCTACATGAGGTCTATTTGCACTAGCTGTACTTAATTTAGCAGTGAAAGTCTATAGAGGGAAGGCAACTAGTCATCACCACCCACCGCCAACTCTTGGGCTACTATTTTACCAGCAAATAGTGGAATTGACTGTCAGATTATAATGCCCCTAAAGCTGAAAAGGTGAGCATGTTTGGTGGGATGATGATTTGAACCTGCAAACCTGAGATTGCAAGTCCAGTGCCTTAACCACCTGGCCATGCCTGGACACTTGATGATGAGATTCAAAGTCATAGCCTGCAGATTGCAAGTGCCCTATCCACAAGACTATTTGTAACTGGAACAGGTTTAAGGAATAAGTTGCAGTCGGTACAATATTTTAAGAAGGGAATGAATGATTTCTTGAACATATACTGATATAGGACAGATTTTTTTTTTACTTTTCTTTATGGTGGGTGTTGTTGTTCTACCTTACGTTTGCACAGGTATGAAGACCAAAGCATGAAAGTGGCTGCAATTGGTCATTTAATGCAATTTAAAACTTGTATGACAAAATTAAAAATCAATAAGTTGAAGTTGAACTGTGAAGTTCAATGTATGAATAACAATTACTTACTCTACAGCTGTTAAAACTGACTTTTAAGTAATACAATTTCACTGCCCTCAGATACAACTTACAAGTTAAACAACTGAACAAGAATCACTAAACTAGGCACGAATTTCATGCTAAAAATAAAATAAACTTAAAATTATGCATATGATATAGGCTCAAATTTAATTTTTTTTCACAAAAATCAGATGATACGGTTATTAAAATATCCTAAGATTAAGATGAGCTTGAAAGTTGAAACTTACACGTACTTGTACTAGCTGAGTGAGCAATTAACAAGAGCTTCCGAGTGAAGGTAAAGAGTGTGTAATATTAATAATATGTCAAATACACTACGTGCTAATGTCAGTATAAACATATATTTTGATTCTACTTTAAGTTTATTCTTTCTGTATCAAGTTTTAACCTTACTTTTGTCTATATTCTAAGAAACAGACAAACACGACAAAGAGCATGCGTACATGCAACTGCTCGGTCTGTGATAATCGTAGAGATAAAACACAGTAAAAACCGAGACGGCTAGACGTAAAAATATATTGAAATAAATATTGGTTTGTATATTGTTATTCTTAAATACAAAGCCACACAATTGGATATCTGCACTCTGCCCACCACTGGTATCGAAAACCGATTTTAAGCGTTGTAAACCTGCAGACTTGCTGCTGATCCACTGGCAGGGCAGAAATATTGGAAATAGTTAAAACACACGTCAATAAGTCACAATAACAATAATTTGTTTTATTTGCTACATTTCAGGCGTATTTTCCATTAGGCTTAGCTACAAAAACATGATATATATGTATATATATATATAACGTTTAAAGTTTATATAAAAAATACAGGTTGTTATAAATAGAGCTAATGCAAAGAATAGAAAGCGAGACGCTTATACAGAGTAAAATATGTGGAAGAAAACTTTACAATTTCTGGCTTTGCCTTAAACTTTTTTTTTTGTAACTTTTATAACTATGTACTAAATGTCAGGTATAACTTACAAGATAAACAACTGAACAAGGGACAATATACTGGGCATGAATTTCGTGTTCAAATTAAAATAAACTTAAATATCATGCATATGGGCTCAAATTTCAAATTACCTTTGACAAAAGTCAGAAGATACAATCAAGTATTTAAAATTAAATTTATTTTACCCTTGGTGTGAATTCTTTACCGCGCTTGGCCAAGAGCGCATTACGTGATATGAAACTTTTTTTTTTTTTTTTTATTATATATTATACTAACGTAGTAAAA